TGGGAGGCTTCTCTCATGTCCCCGCATGAGGAGCTGGAGCTGATAGAGGGAGCTCATCCACCTCTCCCCGGATTTGTTGGTCTTCAGTCCTGCTGACACAGGGATTTAACCCACTGCGCCACCGAGGGCTCCACAAGGGTTGGTGAGAAAGCTTCAGTTGAGACCCCTTTACCCCATGATAACTCTTTCAGGAGTGAATGTCACTTCCGAGGAGTAGATTTCTCTCTCTTCCTGTCATCTCACCCCTGTTTCTAAGTTGATCAAGAAGTGTTCTGAATTTGCTTGCTGGGTGTGTGCATGTGAGAACTCCCATCATAAAGTTTTCTTTTAAACCAAAGCACTTTTCCAGCCTGTTTGGCGAATGGGTTTTGGTGTTATGAAATTACCTCCTCCCTAAATAGAAACTATTATCATTTCACAGTCTAGTTTGAAGGTTAATAATGAGCAGCATTAATGGAGGTTGAAATTGTAAAGACAACATTGATTAAATGGGGATGAAGAAATATGCATAGGATAAACAGTTCCAAACAACTCTTGATTGATTGGCATGTTTGGATAAAATAAATAACATTTAAGTTTAAAAGTCAGCTTGAGTATATTTGCATAATGATATTTGCATTTCTGAAGACATCCAAGCTAGAAGATATTGGACTCTACAGTTTTTTTAAATTCTTTGGTACTGTAAGTATAACAAGTGTCTTCATTGCTTTGGGCAGCCTTCCCTCATATATAGCCTTTAACATCCCATAGCTTGTCTTGAATTTCAATTAAATGACAGCCCAAATAATAAGGCAGGGACAGTTACTATGACCTAAAACACTAAGCAGGAGGAAAGGGAGCATGTTTTTGTAAGATTTGTGTTAAGAAACACACCAGAGGTGGCTTACCTGCCAATACTAAGTCTTGACTTAAAAAATAGTTCATTTTCCTCCAGGCATTTGTACCATGCTGTTTCTCACTCTGCAAGCTGAGGTGATCCTTCTTTGGGTACAAACCGAACTTGCACATCTAGGCTAACATGGGATGCCCTATAATGTCCCCCCTCAATTTGGTGTTATCTGGGAAAACTGTCCAGAGTTAATTTCCAGAAACAGGCCTATCTCCCCTGTGGCCGTGTTGCTTGGTTACATGTTCATGGGGCTAGGAGAGGAAGAAAGCACCTTTATGTCCCAAACGCTTTTATGCTCACAAGTCTCTTTTCAGTTGCTATTATACCCATTAGGAAGTCATTTCCTTTCAGCGAAAGAGGTTCTGAGTTATGACTTGCACTTGTTGTGAGGCTTTGAACAAATTATCTCATTTTTCTCTCACTTCTGCAGTTAAGTGACCAAATGAATTCATTACAGCTACCTACTCGGCTAGGCTCTGGGTTGTGAAGAGAAAGCTTCTTTTTTCAGACACATAGAAACCCAGATGAGGAACCCAACAGAGCAGGTATCTGGCATTAGTAAAGTGAGTGTAGCTAAGGGGCTGGAGTACTGGACTCATTTCTGCTGAGTGGGAATGTCCCTGGTACCAACTGGTCTGAGGTAAGCATTTGGAAACAATAAGAACAACTGCAGAGTTTCTCTAGTTAAAAATAAGTTTTGAAAATAAGATCTTGTCTTCCAGTTGTTCCTTTCTGATGATTAAAAAAAGAAACATTAGTCTTCTGAATCTTGACCAACAGAAGAAAAGCCTCCCATTGCTTGCATTGGGATTAGGGAGCTTCCATGGTCTATTTGTATTGTCAACCCTGTTTAATACGCAGGGATTCTGAATATGAACCAGTCATGCACAGGTAACTGTAGGTAGTGCCTTTGTTACTATTATCATGAATTCCAGAGAATGTTTCTTTTGACCATTTGTTTTCTGTTAAGTTGATAGATTTCATTTCTAAAGCTAGAGAACATGTAACTGATTCAGTTGAAAGTTGGATGGCAGCTTTGTGGTGTCTGATGTGATCTGGTACCAGGGAGCAATGTTGGAATATAAAGATTCATGACTTTTGAGTTTTGATATGCATGTATGGAAGATACTTTGCAATTAAAATGCAGAGATCAAAGAAATGGCTGAAGCTTTGGTCCAGTAATTAATATGGAACAGGTTTTAATTGGAATGAAGATGCTTGATTCAAATTGGAAGCAAAATGGAATCAGGATAAGAAGTCTTGGAAAATTAGCAAAAGCATTTCATTTTATCTTAGGGGTGTTTTTTTTTTTTTTGCCTCAGTTACTGGGTGGTTATTTTATTTTTAAAAGCCTATTTTGATTATTTTAGTTGTGTATCTATTGACTTCTCTCAAAATGGAGACATAGGCCATTTCAGTCTCTGAATAGTCTTGACTAAATTTTATTTTGTTTCCTGAATCCTAGAATACATTTGCCGTCATAGAAAAACTATTTCTCTTTGAACTTTCTTTCAACATTTTGTTTTTCATTTGCTCATTTTCAACATTTTTCTTGGAACTTCTAACCCTTTTCATATGATTATTTGTACTTTTGAAGAGAACCATTTAAAACTCTTGAATTCTTCATTGGAGTGGTAGATCTCTTTTTCTATAACGCCTGGGAGTTTAGAATACTTTAGGTAGTTGGACTAGAGAGTGCCAAAAAGTCACTCTACACCTGCTCAGGAAAGATTGAAGTCTATACAATGCTGGTGGGAGTAATGCCGCATCAATGGCCTTGTGCTGGAGATTTGGGACATGAACTCCTTCTCATGACCTGAACCAAACACAGGGTACAATCCTGTGGATGTTCAGTGCCTGAGGACAGGGCTGCACTCATGGCCTTTCCATCTACTGTTGTGTAGTTGGGGTATCAACTTTGTAAAGTGTGGGATGATAATGACTCCTCTTTTTTTCTGGGCCATGAAGTGGCCATCATATGACATTGAACCAGAGACAGCTTAGGAGGGTTTGTCCAGTTCCAGGCATAGAGCATCCCCCTAAGCTGTCTCCATTTCACTGTCATATGAAGACAGTCCATTTTACTGTCATATGTCACTATTGACATATCATTCACAGTTGGGACCACGAACAGGTTTTAGCCCCAAATTTGATGAATTGGAAGAACAGATGAAAGCCCAATCAAGGTTTGAGAGAAATTTACAAATTCCTATGGGGGAAGGAACATTGAACCAGCACTTTCTAGAATGAGTTGTTGTAGGTTTTTTTGGGCTATATAGCCATGGTTTAGAGGCATTCTCTCCTGACGTTTTGCCTGCATCTATGGCAAGCATCCTCAGAGGTAGTGAGGTCTGTTGGAACTAGGAAAAGGGGTTTATATATCTGTGGAATGACCAGGGTGAGACAAAAGACTCTTGTCTGCTGGAGCTAGGTGTGAATGTTTCAACTGACCACCTTGATTAGCATTTGATGGCCTGACTGTGCCTGGAGCAAACTTTTGTTGAGAGGTGATTAGATGTCCTTGTTTGTTTCCTCTCTGTTGTTGTGCTGTTGATTTTAGAATTTTTTGAAATACTGGTAGCCAGATTTTGTTCATTTTCATGGTTACCTCCTTCCTTTTGAAACTGTCCACATGCTTGTGGATTTCAGTGGTTTCTGTGTATAGTCTGACATGGTGGTTGTTACAGTGGTCCAGCATTTCTGTGTTCTCAAATAATATGATTTCTACAATATTTCACTAATAGCACCGATTCTAAAGATGAATGATGCTCTCAGCAAAGGCTGCTATAGGTTCTGCTGTCAAACACTACAAGTGACAAACTCTGAATGAAGAAAAGGCAGAACTGTTCCCATCCCAGAGTGTGTTGATGCTGGAGGCAGCATGGGTCAGTTCTGTAATCTGCATTATTCTTTATTGGTTGTGGATGTCAGTATCTGTTTTTATGTATTTCATTAGGAAAAAACGGGCCAAAATTTAATCTGAGGTACTTTGTTGTGTGGTTATTATATGAGCATGGGTGACAATTAGCAATATCTTCTGGATGTTCATCAATCTCAAAGCATTTTTAAAAATTGCGCCTTTGATCACAAGGTGTTGTAGTTTAATAGACTAACTGTGGGACCAAGATTTTGGAAGACCATAGAAACCCTCAGATATTCTTCACCCACATTATTGTTGAAAAAAGAACTTACTATTTGTATTGTAATGTATATTTTAATATTTGACTTATGTTTTAATTGTATTTTTATTCTACCCTACTGTGAGACACCTAGGAGAAAAGTATTTATCCAACCCTGGAAACAGATGTACTATGACCTGAGCGCTCCATGCAGTCATGCCAGCCACATGACCTTGGAGGTGTCTACGGACAACGCTGGCTCTTCGGCTCAGAAATGGAGATGAGCACCACACCCCAGAGTCAGACATGACTGGACTTAATGTCAGGGGACTACCTTTACCTTACCTATGACCTGAGCACTGGCTACTTGGACTTGAGATCATGTCATAAATGCAGCTTTTGAACATCCTGAAGATATTATATTATGTTGGGATGGGCTGGGCTGTTTATATTATACCCAGAGTTAATTAGTAAGGAATTGCAAATTCAACTGGTGTGATGGTAAATAGTTTTTCAGTTATTCACAGTCACACCACTGTTGGAAGCCCAGTACTGAACTAGATGATCCACGGGATAGTTCCAAGCACAGCATTGTTGGAATAACACTTTCCTTTCTGCTGTTCACACCTGCAGGCACCTCAATACAACAAGATTGTCACTTCTAATAGAGCCCAGTGTAAGTGGCAGAGATTTGTGTTTAGCTATTGTCCTAGGAAGCAAAGGAAAGGAAAGCAGGGATCCCAATTCCTGCTGGGCTGTTGATGACTGGATCTTTCAAAAGGAAATATTCTTCTTGCATATGAGCTGAACGCAGCTGAAAAGGTGGGTCAAGGTATTGAATACAAAATGGTCATCATGAAAATGGCAGGAAGATTTTGAGAAGAGCAGCGGAGGCATGCAAGACTTATGAAGTGCAGCAGTCCTTATCCCACTGTCCATTTCCCAGCCCCCCAGACACCAAAAGAGGAATTCACAGAGCCAGACCAGACACATTATATAGCAAAAATGTTTAATCTCTCCTTGATGCGTGTGTTTATTTACAAGTACTAAATCTGAAGAACATTAAAATAGGAAATAGCAGGATATTTACACAATCAAAGGGTGCCGACCTGCCACACTGGCACAGTTGCTTCAAGTCTGAAACAATCACATAAAGTTATCATGATTTTCTTTATTTTATTTTTAAATTTTACTATTAAAATTCTTTGTTTCTTATTGTTTTCTCTCCTCCTCCCCTCCCACGCCACCCCCTTCCCTGCTTTTAAAGGACAGCTAACTGTGGTCTTGACATTCCTTAGAAAGAAGAGAGAGTAGCAGGCTTTAGTGTTTGTTTGTGTGTGTGTGTTAAATTTAAGGTAGAATGGTGGTGGCTCTAGTTAGGAAAACACTGGAGTGGGGGAAAGGCCTTACTAAGTGCCTAGTGCTCCACATTATTGTTTTGCTCCCTGTTCTGCCTATTTGATGCTCTCAGACCTTCAGCTTGGGATTCAGCCTGCTTATTTCCCCCCATCTCAGATCAGATGTGCAACATGAACCTACCCTGTCTTCCCAAAACACCATGAGATGAGTGGAGGCCATGCTAATCCTTTGGTTTGTCTGCCTGGCAGACAGTAGCAGGACCAGCACAAGCTGTGCAAACTATCAAAATTAAACAATTGGGGTGTACACTGGAATATTTTACTATGACCTAAAATCTTTGTTGTGTATATTTTCTCGGTGGGACCTGGGACTCTTTGGAGGAGATTGAGGCTGAGTGTCACATTCTGAACTTATGCTTTTTCAGTCTTAAATGCATGCAATCTATGTGAAGAGAATCCAGGCAGAAGAAAATCCCTGGACACCTTCCTTATTAGTTGACTCAAACCAATTTCTAAGACAATATGGTTTTGGACCTATTCAGCCCCATAGTTCTGAGACGGAACTAGCTCTGTCCACAGCCTAAGCCTTCGCTGGGTTTAGTGAGCTGCTCATCAAACTAACTCCCATAGTGCCCTATCCTCATTCACCAAAATGGTAAGTTGGGAGAGCTGGTGGGGAGGGCAGAAAGGAGGTGGTGAAGTATGACAAAACACTTTTAATGAACAGCTTTCACAAAACTAGAAAAACAGGAAGCTACATTTCCCATAAACGTTTTTCTTGGGGCATATTCAAGTAATGGGGACCTCGTCTAGACATCACTAATATTTGGAACTCATCATGCCTTTGCTGGAAGTGGATTCCTAATAATCTGACTGGGAATGAAAAAGTTTGGTGCTTAGTTGAAAAATGAAGGAAACTAAAAGGTGAAATCGGTTCCTAATTTGAGATATCCTTATTAACTTATGGTAAGACCTAGCATTTCTCAGGATACCTGGGCAAGAGAACACATGACAGCATATTCCACTGGAGCAGAGTCAATTTAGGTTCTCATGATACTCAAAATGATAAAGAAGTATTTCATTTACCAGCTTTCCCAATGAGAGTCTTATCTTCTGTGTCCATTTAAAAGCCACAACCTTTGATTATTGAGGGTTTTTTTTCTCTTTTTTTCTTAATTCTGCTAACCATCAGTTAATGCTCAACACATCACAGTACTTCAGAGGAATGCTATCCTGACCCAAGGCATGAACAGCTTACATGGAAAGCTTTGTTTCTCATATGATCATTTGAGCATTGAAATGCACATCAAAAGTCTTCTAAGCTGCTAATTACATTCACGCACATAATCAAAGGCTTGAAAAATTAAAGAAACACCAGGAGATTTAACATTGCTGCCAAAGCCTCTGGCAGCATAATCCTGAGAGGGTGTTTGTGTGCATGGATGTGTAAGGGTCAACATAACCAGATAAAAAGCGCTAATAAAATATTTATACTTGTGGGAATTGGTGACATCTTGCTCCTTCTCACACTGTTAATTCCACTTCTAATGGGGATGAAACCAAATGGCTATGTTAGAATGGTTCCTGATGGGAAATAAGTGAAAGAAGAAAGGACACGGCAGCAGAGGGAAGAGGTTTAGGGAAGCATCAATGAAGACAAAAAGTTCCTCCAGATCACTGTTTCAGGAAAGTTCACAAGCAGCACATGAAAGAAAACAGCTCTCATTCCATGGCCCACCCTCAGCATTTGGCTACTCAGAGGGATATTCATTCTGAACATAGTTATTTAATAAGATGCAGTGTAACAAGGGCCAGATCAGCAACAAGAGGCCAAAAACAGTTTGTGCGTGATTGTAGGAGGGATTTGTATTTTCTAAAACATCAAGACAGCTTAGAAAAACACTCTGAAAGTTAATATTTGCTCATGTATTGTGTCGTTTAGCACCATATAGCTCTAGCTTACCAGAAGAAAAAAAGAGATAAAATTTCAGGAGTCCACAAAAATACCCCTGTCTTCAAAACCATTCTTCTCCAGTTAAAAACACTATGTCTGCTAAACTGATGTCTAGAAACATGCCAATATATTATCAGTGGAGAGATTAGTTATAAATTAGGACAAATGGAAAGCAACCCATTCTTTCAGACTGGGTGCAATGGTGGGAGGAATGCAACTGTGTCTGCAGTGTAGGTAGTTTGCTTCCCCACTACAGCTCTTTCGTGAAAAAGAATTAAGAGAGGTCCTTAACATCGCTTCGCATTATCCGTGAAGACCGTGTGACCTAATCCTTCTGTATGTTTTATTAATTTCAGAACCTCCCTCCAAAAAAAAGGTTCCAGTAAAGTTAATTACATTTTTCCTTTTTGTTGTAATGTTTCCCAAAGAGTTCAGGCTTGGAAATTAGTAAAGAATAGTCTATTACTAAGGATATCTTCTTCTAAATGCCTCAGTGTCAGAGTCTTTTTAAAGAAAGAGAGAGAACACTATTAGTGATTTCTGCTAATATTCTACTCCAGCTACTTTGTTATGTATGGGTAACCTAAGTAATGTTTCCTGGATGACCCCCAGTATATCTTGAAGTTTGTTCAATTGCTGATCAGGGCTCAAGGAAGATGACTGTCCAAGATAATGTCAAGAAAGATGAGCTCACTAGTGAGCAAGTCTGCAACAATAAGAAAAAAAGACCCTTGTCACAATTCGTCACCTTACTTGCTGGTGGAAGGAGGTTGGAAATGTCATTCTCCTTACTTCTTGACTGACAGTTGAACAGGCATCCTTTGCCTGATGTGGATGCTGGTTGTTCTGGTGGGCATTTATACAATCTTATAGTATAAAGAGTACTTATGGATACATACACTTAGTTTATGAATCCATGCAAAATGCCAACCTTCCCTTCTCTATAAAATAGAAAGGAAATTCCTTAAAAAAATCTGATGCAAGCTCTAAAAATAAGATACTGGGCCAATTCCATAAATAATTACTAATCCTTCAATCATGATCATGAAGGGGGGGGGCATTCTTTGTAAAAACAGGCTAAATTAACACAGGGCACGGAAACACTTAAGAGCTTCAATAGCATTCTTATCTGTCCACACTGAACCAATCGGACTGGGATGGGAAGAAACCCAACCAATCCAAGAACAGTTTGAAAAACAATGCATTGTAGTGGTTTAGCAGTGGTCTTAGTTGGGTGTTTTATAAAATAAAAGTCAACTATTTTAGAAAAAAATGGATGGAGGCAATCTAGTAATATGAGTGAAAAAATCCTATTGAGAAAGTAAAAGTATAGTGAGATTATTGACAGTTGTTTCATATGAACCCTTTGAACACTGTGGAGGACCATCTACTCACATAAACAGTAGCTGTTGATTTCTGATATAGTAAGAAAAAGTCACTTTTTAGACAACCTATATGTCTGCTTGCCATTTCCCTTTCCCATCTATCTACAGGAAAGCCACTGAATTTCTCTTCTACCTTAGGAATCGTCTATAAAGCCACTGGCTTGGTTTCCATCGAAGAAATGTGACTAACTTCAGTAGTGTCAAAGGCAAACACAGACCCTTCTGCCATAGGCAGACTTTTCAAAAGATGGCAATTATACAAATAAACAAAATGAAGAAAGTCACACCCCAATAAGTGGTATAAGAGTTGAGAGAGAAGTCAACAAACACTTTTGGGCTCTTGGTCTTTAAATATTCCCATAACAAAACTTAACCAGCCTTCCATGTGCGAAGACAAACTTTCCGAGATGTTGAATATGAGTCTTTCCCAGATGATGAATGTAAGTCTTACTACAGTCGTGCTCACCTAGATTCCTTAAAGGTTTCTGCAAATATCAAATACCAACTTAATGTCCAGAGAGCACAGAGTATGGCTCCCCCTTCTGTTCCTAACACACATCTTCAAAGCCAATCAGTGAGTAGATGGAAAGAACTGGGTACCATCTGTCCAAAGTTCTGTATGACTTTTTCCTGGCTGCAAAATTAAAACTAGGTGGTAATTAGGACTTCCCTGCTCCTACCTATCACTGTTTGGCAGTGAAGTATGTCCTGGTACCTGCAACTGAGGTTGTACAGAAAAAGGGAGTCACTGTGCAAGTAGGTAATGGATATTTCCTTCTGAAATGATCTTCAGAGTACATATACTAGAATAATGATAAATTATGGTAACATATGCAATCCATAGTATTCAAGCCAAAGAGACATGGAACACACAGAAATCATCTGGGAAAGAATGCTGATTTTCCTTCACATTGATCACATGTAACTTTTTTGGTGTCATTTGATCAAGGATATTTTTCCCTGTGTCCTTCTACATTAGTAGTCTCAACCTGTGGGTCCCCAGGTGTTTTGGCCTACAATCTCCAGAAATCCCAGCCAGTTTACCAGCTGTTAAGATTTCTGGGAGTTGAAGGCCAAAGCATCTGGGGACCCACAGGTTGAGAACCACTGTTCTACATAATGATGGGTCATTCAGTAACAGAGATGGTGGTATAAGATAGATTCACTGACTTAGTGCTGTCATAAAAGGATAAATCCCAGTGCCTATCCTGCAATGGCCCATTTTGTTTTTCTCTCAGGGCTTTCAGATTATTCCAAATCCGAGGCACTCCACACTGTTTTTGCTGTAAAGAAATCCCTATGAGAAAGCTGTGCTTTTGAGGTAAGCAAATGTCTACATTTTTTTTCCCTAATGAATGAAGTCTTCCAAGGTATTGCTATTGCTGAATGACTAGATAGGATGGGTGCCTAAGTGGGGAGCTCTTGAGATGAAGGGCTTTTTTTCCTGCTTCAGCCAAACTAGTTCTCTAAAGTAAATCAAAATAAATAAAGGATTGGTTTGCTGCTAACTTCTGTAAAGTCAGGACTGTACTTTTGTTTCCCCTAAAGGGGTGCCAATTTACATCAAGCTGAGAGAGATCAAGACCCTGCCTCTTTTAACCATGCAGTGTTTATGCTCCCAAGCACACCTTAAACCAAGTCCAGGGAGGGGAACCTGTAAAATATTACAGTATCTTTTGTATGCAGCAACACTTTTAGCTGTCCTTTAAGGCTTTTTGAGTACCATTTTTCCAGAAAGAAACAGTTGGTGTTACTTCTAATTCTTTTTTTGTACAAGAAGTGACAAATTAATTCCAAAATTTCAAAAAATAAAAAGGTCTAAACAAACCTCTAATATTCAACACTTGCATTTTTTTCCTTTTTTAAAAAAGATCAACTCAGACTAAACTCTAGCACAGTCATGCAACAGCCCACAGTTCCTATGGATCCAGACATCTCAGAACTCCACAGGTGGTTTTTTTTGTTTTGATTTATTTTATGTTTATTGTCTTTATCTTCTCCTCGTCTTCCTCTTTAATTAAAAATAATAATTAAAAAGGCTAAAAACAAAATTACAAAGCAATCTGAGATGTATATAGGCTTCAAGAGATTGTTCTGCTTGATGAGACATGTTTGATTCCCCGCCCCGCCCCCCGTTTTGGTATTTTCAACTGCTTGTGTAAAAACCATGTTTGATATTGGTTTGATCTCCTTCAGTTAACTATACAGTACCCCACTGGGGTACAAGAATTAGATTGTAACAACATATATATATATATACACACACACAATTTTAAATTTTAATTTAAAAACTTCATTACATCCCTCTCCTCCCCTTATTTGCACTCTAAGGGAATAGACAGGTCTAGGCTCAGTGTGATCTTGAATAGCCTCTCTTTCAATATGACCTAGGCTGAGATAGGAACATCTGGATGCGGGAGTGGTGAGGGTGGGCAATCTGGTGGATTTGAGCACCTGAGTTGAAGCAGGGCAGTGGCTTCAGGACACTGGTAAACTTAAAACAAATTTAAAATCCATGTACTAAGAGAAACTGAGCTGAGGGTGTTCAGCTGCGATTCTATACATCCTTATTCGGGAGCATGTACCGCTAAACTCAATACTAATTACTTCTGAATTAAGGATGGAAAGGAATTTTGTTGGGCTCTACAATTGTGATAAAAGCAAAATATTTGCACCTCCCAAATGTTTTTGTGAAAAATGCATACCTTATGTCAAGCATTTGCACATTTGTGAGGCTTATAGGCCATTTCCAAGAAATAAATTGTGGACCAAAAAAGTTCAGTCAGTTCAGAATGGGAACAATTAAAAAACTCTTGTGCAAACACATTTTAGTCCATGGGGAAAAGTCACACAAATTATGTAAACTCGACTACACAGGCACATTAGGAAGAATGCATTTAAAATGTGAATGCATTCACTGTGGGAAGAAAGCACAAGGTTTCACAAACCAGTACAAATCAAGAATGGGTGGAAATGTATAATGGGATTGGAGAAACTCAGTCAAACTGAAACTGAGAGACTGTCACACCCCTGTTATAGACAGACAGACAGACAGACAACAGCACTGTCAGCTGAAGCACAGACAGAGCACTGAATGGAATTGCGAAGTTAGCAAAGAGAGAGAGATGTGTTAGGAAATGGATTTTAGGGAGACCCTGGTAAGATCTTCAGAAAGGTTGTGTCTCTCACAAGTACTGACTTTTCCTTAATGTTGAAATCCAAGCCAAATGGTCATTCCAGAATCTTTAGAAATGCCCCATTCATTGCATTGGAAACTTATCTCGTTGTATTTATTTTTAATGATCTTCCTTATGACACAGGTTTTGAAGGCCAGGGTGCAATTTAAAATAGAATTGTGGAAGGACGGCATGTAGACTGTGGAATGTAGACTACATTCAGAACGTAGGAACAATGACAACACAGTGTGATGCTTTGTTACATTTGCACAGTTGAAATGCTGTGCAAATGAGAAGTAAAAGATGAGAAGTAAAAGGCCCCTTTTAAACAGGAGAGAATTCACATTTCTAAGATGATGCTTTAGTGACAGCTTTACAAAATTTGGAGACACAAGAGGGAATTTCTGGGTTTTTGGGGTGTGTAGGATGGGGTGGTGAGCCTGTACAAAATAAATCAATGCAAACATTTTCCCAAACTACAAGACATTCTGAAAAACATTATGGGAACAATAAAGGAGCATTTTGCCAGTGACTGCACTGGAAGCACCTCATTGCATTATGGATCATGTGCAGGACACTAACAGCAGTAAGATCTACTTCTACACCCCTTTCACAGTATCAACACTGGGCCTCCTCTGATGGAAGTGATTGTGTAAGCAAAGACGACAAAGTCCAAAGGCAGGCGATAACCAACCGCAAAGTGATTGTGGATGATGGCACTGCCCTATCTCAGATTATTGTCTGTTCCAGTAAGGCTGGAAGCCAAGGTGACCAAAACAGGCTGTGGAGAATATACTTGAGTGTGACATTTTAAATATTCCTGAAACAAAATAACCTAAAATATGCATTTTACCCCACACAAATATGAATAAAGAAAAGCTACTCAACTATTGTGTGCCGTGCATTCTTCTTCTTTTCTATAGACTGGATGCCACACTTTCTTTTTCTTGGACTATCTCCCACTTTTCCTACTAGCTGAACCCAAAAGAATGTGCAACTGGTCATGCAGTTGATTTCATTTCAATTATTTTGTTGTTGACAAAACTGTTCTTCTGTTACCTAACAATTCCTCTTGTCTAAGACCTTGCTTGTTTTGGGAGATGCTCTGCATCTGCTAAAATGTGATGATGTATAAACAAATAGTCAAAAGAAAGTCACTTACACACACACACAACCAAAAAACACACACACAAAACAAAAGGGAAAACCCGCTACTATATAGTGTTTCAACAGTGATGAGGTTGGATCTGATGACTCATAAGGCCCTTCTGAACTCAATGATTCTATGATAAATCAAAACTCCATGATGGATCACCGTTTGTTCTTCATCTCTTTGGATGAAGGCTGCCCTTATGATATGCTCTGAGTAGGCCCATGTAACTGAGGTCTGCCACATCAAGGGAATGGGAGGAGCAAAGGACTGAACTCAGAAGTTGGGTCTAGGATTCCTGTGTGGCCCAGACCTTATCATGTGCTACTATGTCTGCTAATCAAGAAGCCTTTCTTTTCCAACGGAAGAAGGAATACTGAGGATTGGTTCCCATGGTCATCATCCCCATTTACTGTGCCTATATGTGGCTGAAATGCTTGTTTGGAAGTGCCCCTATTTCAAATTGCCCTGCAGGTATTTAAGGTAATGTTTGGAGCTAGGAGATTCACTTTCAAGTAGAGGGAAGCAAATAAAGCTTCTGAAGAATTGCTAAGTTCAGAGTACAAATAACTCATCCTGTCTCATCTATATAAAAGACAAAGCAGGAACTTTTCTGTGAAGTGTGGCACTTTCCACAAAGTAAGGCTTGTTACAATGAATGGGAAAGATCTCCCTCTTGGGCTTGCCTCATATGCCTCTCGCCTTCTAAGAGTTTTTTTTTTTTGCCTTCTCCTCTCTCTCAACCTCTTGAACCCTCTTTAGCAGCACTTTAAAAGAGAGTGTCTTTTTGGCCTGTGCTAAACAACATTCAGACAAAACATGGCACAGGGCAAAGCATAGGAAGAACAAAAGATACTGGGACAGTTTTCTTGGTCCCACTCACCCTCATCTCTCTCCCAACCAAATAATGGTCCTTTCTTTCATAAAAAAAAAATCCTGCAAAGTTTTTGTTGAAAATTTAGAACCTCTCCCCCACCCCTATATTTTGAATTCTTAAAAAAAATCTAGCTTGTGGAAATTGTGCAAATATAGCAGTTAACACTAGAGGCAGTAGGCCAGAGAGGGAGGGAGGAAGAGAAGAGCAAGAGTAGAGTTCTCCAGGCCAGGTGGGAAAGGAAGCAAGGGCAGAAGGGTGGGGGAGGGGGGAAGAGAGGAAATAATATGCCTACCCACCCGCCTGCTACAGGAAAACCATAATGGGAGAACATTGTCCTAGACATTAGTGAAGTCCCCAACCTTCTGCTGCCAGACAGGCCTTGGTTTTGGGGATTGGGAAGGGGGGCAGTGGCACTTGAGCTGGAATCCTTTCCCTGGCCCTCCTTGCGCATCTCTTGGGGTCCTTCTGGTGCTTTGCTATGTCACTCTTTTCCAAAAGTCTTTACATAGTAGGTTCCACCTCATTTTGATAATGGTGGTTTTAAGTTCTTGCTGTCTGTGGGTGTAAAGGGTTTGGAGACGCAGCAGAGTTTGCAGTTTCGTCCTTGGCCCCAATGTATTTTTGCTTGCTTTCTTGCTGCTGCAACCAGCTTGCCTTCTTTTTTCTCTCTCTCAATCTCTGTGTCTCTGTATCCACTGCTAGGGAAGTCTGCAGTGCCATCGCGGCCTTTTCAGCTACTTAGGGCCATTGTGTCAATTGCCTGCTCCAACTTACTCCGCAGCCGTTGCCTTCGGGCCTGTTCGTCCTTCTCTAAAGCAGCTAAAATCTGGCAAGGAAAAAAAATCAGAGAAGAAAGCATTAGAAGAAAAAGAAGATTTTGCTGCAACTTGAAACATTCTTCACAAATAGTAGGTTGGGAAATCAGGCTGGATTCCCACTCTACCTTTTTGAACCACCAAAAGGCAAACCGAAGGGTCATATGGCAAATTATAATTCCAATTAATTTAATCTTATTTGTCCAATCACAGTTTGCTCTTCCAACAGCCTCTACCTTGGATTGGCTGGCTTGGTAGAAGAAGCTGCTGACAGCCTAAATATGTGGTGCAAATATATGTGATTAAATATGTAACTAAACTGAGATCAACATGAAATCTACACATTATCAAAATATTACAATACTGAATTTTTTCTGCACTAAAATATAGATTCCCTTAACAGACACATATTTCCATTTAGAGGACAGAAAGAGTACACATTCAATTTGATTCTGATCAGGGCATTCACTGATAAGACACTAGGAAAAGAAAGAGATGTGTGAGATTCATCTAATCAGAACCTTTTATATGAGAAAATGTATTCCAGAACATAGATAGTTACCATCCAGTTCTGTTTCCTTCTGATTTGGAAAATTTCCCAGATCACCATTGGTTATAACACTGGAAATCTAGAAAAACCTCACCCTCTTTTTTATATCATGTGTTCAGGAGCAGTTCAGGGAAAGTTCTGAAAAGGGGAAATGGAATGGACAGCTGTTGGGGTCCTAGTAAAGTCACTGAGGAAATGGGGGATTGGAGAGAAAAAAGGAAAAGCTCTCAGGCATTTGGGAGTCTGTTGAACGAAGACCTACTTCTTTTAAATTACACAACAGATAAAGAACAGATGATTAAAATGCAAACCCATCTGAAATCCCATTATAGTGCCTAAGTTTGTTGTGAGTACAAGGTGGATTTTTCTTTCCAATTAAATGTCAAAGCATCCATCAAAGGAGACTTGATTAACCATTTCATTGGCTGCGTAATTGGAAACAAACTCTTGTATAATTAATAGACTGACTATTAGGAGGAAGGAAAGGTCCATCACAAGCCCTACAGGTAATTCCTTAATATGGAAATCAGCTCCTTTTGATTAAGCGCAGCTGTGGTGCCCTACAGGTCTCCTGTGCTGAGTGTGTCGGACGTGCGGCAAAGTACACAGCACTTTCGCTTGGGGCTGTGGGGATGCTGAAACACTTGAAAGTGCCATGCAGATTATGTAAAGGTTATTTGCCACATAGTTAGAAAAGACACATAGAGTTGGAAAGCAGAGCCAAGCAGTGCGGCTTTATGCCCTGTAGAAGGCTACCCTATGGCTGCAATCCTAAGAGCATAGGTCTCAATGAAGTACTCCGGACAGTTTTCCATATACATTATAAAAGAGATACAATGAATAGACCTGCAACCCTGTTACCTGGGGGATAACCCAGGCCAGGGTTGGATCAGGCAAATAGCTCCCCAGATTTCATCTGAAGCTCTCCTCGTTGCTGCCAGTCAGAGAAACCTCTAGATGGTGCCAAAGTTCAGCATCCAAACCAAAACAACAAATTAAACTGGCAGCAGGGAAAAATGAAAACCTTAAAGGTGTTGGAGGCAGAGATCAAGTAGTAACCAGAATTCGACCTAAAAACCCTGTTTCTCCAGAACCATGAAGTGACCGTTGTTTACAAGTGCTACAAGATTCTCAACTGGCTTTGTATTTGTTTCATCTTCTGCTATCATGTTGCCCTTCTGGGAGCAACACAGTCAAGATGTACACTACAGTGAGTATAAAGAGAGAGCAACATGTCGGACACCTGCTTTGAGGAGCTGGGATCGCCGTGATTAGGAGGAAGCAAAAACCCAAATGAAAATTAATTACGGTTCTCATTCAGCACCAATGACAGTATATTATAGCTGTGAACAACAGGAAAAATGATTCTCTCCTATTTTGCATCAGAGAGAGTGCAGTTGGGCTGGATGTAATTGTGTTTAATGAATGAAAACAAACAAAGGGAACAGCTGCTATTTATTAATCCCATTACAAACAATAAAAGAAGTTCCTGAGAGCTGTGAACACACAGGCAGTACCTTTGGAGTGGGCTACAGGTGTACATTCAATAGATGCCAGGCAGCAGTTAGCCAGAGTAGACAAGGAATGGTAATACATCTTGCATCCAGCTCATTAAGATCTCCCTTTCAGACCACACATACTTGCCTTGTTACAGATTTCTGCTTTTAAGGCCCTTGCTGGGTGGCAATACAAATGAAGGGTAATGTTGGAAGCTGGCCGATCAGACTCAGGGGCAGGGGCTATTTCTACGTAAGAGAAAGCTGTGGGGAGGGTCAAATCCTATGTTTATGTCTGGTATATCAAGGACAGTGCAGAAGTTGTAGCTCATGTGACCTTTGTTCATTTTGTACCTCATGTCACATGTGGCTAAGAAGGTTTATTTATGCTGGTGCTTACTCATGGGAAAGATCTGTCCCTTCCTTTGCAATTGTCAGCATCTAGCAAAGACAGGTGGATCTGAGGGCCCTTCCACACAGCCCTATATCCCAGAATATAAAGGCAAAAAATCCCACATTACCTGAATGTGGACTCAGATAATCCAGTTCAAAGCAGATATTGTGGGATTTTCTGGATTGATATTGTGGGTTATATGGCTGTGTGGAAAGGTCTTGGTTTAGCCTCTAACTTCTGTGTTAGAATCTGAAGAATGCAGTGACCTTCAAGAACAAGCTACTGGCCACATCTGGCACAAATCGATTTGGCTCACAATCAGATTCAGAAATTCAGTGACAGCAGATTGATATGTGGCCATTCCTCTGATAATAGAATCGTCACCGCCCACCCCGCCCCCCGAAAAAAATAATTTTTGTAGGGATTTTTCTTTTTCTCAAACTTATGTTTGAGAAAAAGGGAAAAACTTTATTTTAAAAGAAGTCAGTAGGAATCCATCTTGGGAAGACAAAGGCCTGTCCTGGGCAGGGCATTTCCCAAAGTGGTTAAATTGCCCTCTACTTGTCTCTAATGAGTATGAGGGCATTTTGAACAAAAACAAAGGGGTTTTGGGGACCAAAAATTGCTTTTGGGGAAAATGCATGCAGCCCATGGAGCATACAAGGCATTTCCCTCTTTTATAGGTCTTCTATAGCTCTTTATGCATGGGGACTGCATCACAAGGTCACAATGGGTGATCTGTAAGGATAGGGTTATCACACAGCGATCTCTAGGAACAGCACAAGCAGAAAAATTGGGAGTGCATGAAGGACTTACATTTGTTACAGAGGAGGTGATATGCCTTAATTAACCTTTGTTAATTTACATAATTAGCAAGGGCTTGGCAATGTGTTTGTTCCTAAGACTTAAAATCATTATGTTGAAAACAGTCCTGAGTGTTAATAAAGGTTTCTTTTGGTAGAGCAATTTTGGAATCTGAGAAAGTTAGCTACAAAAAAGAAGGTGGGTAAAATTAAGGTCTCCGGAGCAGGACTAGAGATCGATGTCCAGGGCTAAACCCCTTCTTGGAGGAAACAGCACAACATTTCAAATGGTCTTAAACTACCTATTCTAACCAACACTAGACCTCTGTCCTTAGAAGGGATCCGTGTGTTTTTGCTGCTACATTAAGATGCAAACGGAGCCCATCTTTTACACAGTTTCTGCTGACAAGCATTATTTCATCTAAATGTCCACCATTCAGGCTAATCTGGTGTCACTCAAAAATAATGCTCTGTCAATTTCTGTTATATAAAGCATTCTACAATAACTGCTTCATTAACTGAACCTTCATGGCATCATAGTAAGGCAGGCAAATTGAGTATTTATGCTTGCTTTGTTGAAGCACTTTAGGCAGAAGCAGCAACATGGTTCCAAGGGTCTAAACCTTGTGCCTCTCTCTTCAGTTGTGAATTAATGTACTTTTTTGATCTATTCGATGCACCTTTGTCACCTCATTCAAGAGGTCTCTCTCTCACACACACTCCTCCCTTTCTGTTTCCATTGATAAGCCCAATCTGGTGGTCTCCTGAGAGGCATATCCCTCACCAGATTTCAAAGGAACCTATCTGCAGCGCCTTGCTCAGATAACAATACAAGAGTTGATTGGCAAACTTTTCTATTTTTTAAAAAAGCACACCTTTTATTATCTTAATAAACCCACTATCCCTTGGTTCTCATTATCTTTCAGCTGGGCAATAAAATCCATATATTGCTATTATATATATTTTTATTAGAGTTATATATTTTATTGCTTTACTAAAGAATGGCTGAGAACGTGTTGGAAAAGTACGTTAATGGGAGTTTGTGCCAATTATGGCAGATGGGTTTTTAACCAATCTTAAATCTTAACTGGCTAACTGAAGCAACTCTCTTTTAACAGCAAATGTCCCTGCTCCCCAGACCGCAAATGAAATAACCAGTGAAGAGCTCCACTAGAAATTATCTATTGCAGTGGAAGTTGAAAATATCCAAGTAGAGAGCAGTCTTTCTGGCAAGAAGGCAGCTCCTCCTTGTGACCTTCTTTATACTTCTATAGCTCCACAATGGTTTGCAATCTCAGTGCAAAGGGTGGGCATGGAGAAGAGTTTTGAAGGACTTTCTTTTTCTCTGCTATCTAATTCATTAATTCAAATGGCATGTATTTGCTGGGTGGTTTCTGTTATACATTTGCTGGCATTGTGATCACAAAGTTTTCTAATTCTACTTCCCTATTTCTTCTGACTTGGAGAAGACATTGGTTTTGTTTGTTTTTAAAAGGCTGGCCCGTGTTTGTTTTCCTCTAAAAGGCTGGCCTGTGCTTGTTTACTTCGAGCAGTTTAGACATGAGAAAGAAAAAAGAGGGCGGAAGCATGAACATATAATATGAGAACTTGCTGGATCCTTGGCAGGTAAGAGATGTAGAAAGCTCTCTCTTAAAAGACAAAGCTAAACATTAAAGAAAACACAGTGCCCTCACACTGTGGTACCAATGCAGGGTTAGGAAGAATTTAACAAGGAAAATCCATGGACAAGAAGTGGGAGTAGTTCACTGTTCTTCCATATTTATTTATTTCAGACATTTACTTTTCACCACCAAAGGGGGGCTCAGGGCGGCTTACAAACAGCAACCATTAGATGCCAACAACAGTAATAAAGACACAGTTGAAAATTAGTTGAAACATCTTCAAAAGTTAAAAAGTCAATTTAAAAGAGACAAATCCAAGTCCAGAGTCAAAAACCAAAATCCATCCATTATCAATCACATGATTCACTGACAATTCTTACTGCTGTGGCTGCTGCTCGAAAGCTTGGTCCCACAGCCATGATTTCAATTTCTTCTTGAAGGACAGGAGAGCAGGGGCTGACCTGATTTCATTAGGGAGTATGTTCCACAGATTGGGGGGGGGGAGGCACCACCGAGAAGGCCCTGTCCCTCATCCCTGTCAAATGTACCTGTGAAGGTGGCAGGATCGCGAGCAGTCCCTCCCCCGACAATCTTAACCTCCGAGGTAAATCATAGAGGAGACTGGCTGTCTTTTTAGATTCACCACATTTGCCTATTGAAATAGTTCCCTTCAGTGATACATTCAGACAAGTAAGCTGGACTGGAACTGTTTAGGGGTTTATAGCCTAAAGCCAGCACTTTGAAATGTGCTCAGTAACAGACTAGCAACCAGCGGAGCTGATCTAACAGCGGGGTGATATGCTCCCTGTACGCCACTCCAGTGAGCAATCTGGCTGCCGCCTGTGGGACTAGATTCAGCTCCCTAACAGCCTTCAAAGGTAGAGAAAGTATAACAGTTATCCCTCACAAATTTTCTCCTTGAGGCTGGACAATCTGGAATCCAAAGTCCGTTAGGAAAGGAAAAGGACTCAGGAAGAGAGCACACATGCTTTGGAGCAAGTCTTGGGTAAAACTTTGCACCTTTCTGTCTTGCTGATTCTCTCTTATAAATGCTCTCGCTGCATTTCAGTTAACTTTCAAAATGAATCAGGTGATTGCACATCTACAGCGATGACGGGTTGTCTCATAATAAAACTTTATTTTCCCACACTATGGGGAACTCCAGTCAGTGCCAGAAGTTGGGATATGTATCACACAACTGCAGTACCTAAAAGGCAACACCTCAGTTTTGTCAAGAGAAAGGCCTGTCCTTTAACTTTCAACAAATAGAAAACAACATATTTAATGTGTATTCCTCATCTTGCATTGTTGGTTCTATGCATCTCAAAATATTTTAAAGTCTTTATATTGTATTATATTTCTAAACAAAGTAAGAATTGTTTCTGTTGGTGCAAGGAGGTCTTCCAGGGTAGTGACTGAGCACCAATCTATTCTCAAACAGCAAGGAACAGATTTCTAGGTACTTTTAGGGGATCGTGTATATCTCAGTAACAAACATCAAAGCCATCTCTGAGTATTCCTTGCCTAAGAAAACCCTATGAAATTAATAGGGTCGGCATAAGTTGACAGGTGGTTTCGACATAAACGGACACATCTGCATAGGCCGTTGCTTTCCTCCTGTTTTCTTTTCTTTTTCACTGACAGCTGATGTAAAATCTTGATACAAACCCTAGTGAAAAACTGTTTCAGCAGCCACTTTACTTGCAATAAATAACCTCTAATTCTGCTGACTGAGATATTTTCCCCTCCTGTGCATTCCCTATGGGATGTACCAGTATCGTTTACATCAGAAGGAGGAAAAAATAGTTAAATGAAACAGTATGTAAAAGCTGGTGTGTGCCTTACCTCATCCTTGTACTTGGTGATGTAGGAATAGATCTCATGCAGCGCACTCATACTGTTGAACTGGCTCAGGTGTAACCGGGACTGCTCTGCTAGGTAAGCGCTCATGTCTTGGTCGCTGATTGCTGGCATTTTAGCAATATCTGCATAATATCTACAGCAGGGAGCAGGAGAGATAAGTCATGACATTGAAAACAGAGAGTGTTTAATCAGGGTTCAATCTGGAGACTTTCTACAAAAGAACTGTAATGTCTCCTAATGAATTATAACACTATTTAATGCACAGAAGAAATTGGGTACAACATGAAGGAAGTCAGGTTCAATGGCCAAATTATGCTCCTTCCTTATCATACTCTGGCATCTGCAAGCAGAATATTCCATCATCCATTACAGGATTTTATAGAAAACTGATTTTATTTTTTGCACCAAGAAAAAATAGGAGAAAGTCACTTTCTTTCTTGTGGGCTGACATATTTCACAAGGTCATTGTGAAGTTTTACTAAACAGTGTTGGTAGTGTTTGGGTGGTGGGGAAGGGGAGAAGGGGGGGGGGGAAGGATACAGAATTAATGTGTAATACAATATAAACATCCTTGTGGAACCGGAAGTTAAATTTATAAACAAAGAAAGGAGGCGTATTTTTCAATGCAGTTCTTGTAATGGCTGGTAAGGGCTGTGGGCTGCTTCGGTGTCTAATGTTGGGCAACCTTTTGAGATCTATGAAGCAGGACTCTTTGGAATAGTAAAGATGGAAAAGCAAGTGCATTTGCAGCTAAGGGGTAGACATCTACGGGAAAGTTTCCCAAAAGCTACCAAGATAGTGCATATTCTGGGATTCACCTAAGCAAACAGGGAAATAATCAGACTCCAGGAGCCGTGGTGGCAAAACGGGTTTAACCCTTGTGCCGGCTGAATTGCTGACCTGAAGGTTGGTGGTTTGAATCTGGGGAGCAGGGTGACCTCCCATCTGTCAGCTCCAGCTTCCCATGCAGGGACATAAGAGAAACCTCCTACAGGATGGTAAAACATCCCCTGGGCAACATCCTTGCAGACTGCCAATTCTCTCACACCAGAAGCAACTTCTCAAGTTGCTCCTGACACGAAAAAAAACCCCCAGACTTTTCCAATAAAACAACAGTAACAGCAATACATATTGTTGGCAAAGCAGATGTCAACCATTTATTTCAGGGCAGAGAAACCCTTGCCCCTCAAGATGTTGTTGTACATACTCATATTTCCATAGGCAAAGGAAGAAATAAATCTTCATGTGCTTATTAGTGGTCTGCATTTATTTCTTTAAGAAGCCTTTATGATGATTCTATTTTGTAAAAATCCCAACACTTTTCAGCCTCTAGTCATTTTATAGAATTTCAAATCTCTACCACAGAAATGAAGGTGTGGGTGTTGGAAAAAGCAGATAATAATAATGAATAAAACTTTGCTGAGAAAAGCAGCAGATTGGATTTTAAAATTGAAATCCTTGAGACCGGGAGGTCTTAATGAAGGTCTGGATTTCTTCCCTATAGTAAGGTTATTCTACTTCATAAATGATTTAATTTTTCAGCTGAATTACATCAGATGCCCTTGAAAGTTTTTTCACCACTGTCTCTCTACACTCCCTCTGCCTTTCTTTCTGATCATTTGTTGAGAAGTATAAATAAAACTTAGAAGCCTAGTCCATTTTTCACAGTTATACGGAGAGATTTTTTTTTTTGGCAACTGCAGAAATTCCTGCTGTTCATAAACTCTGAATGATATAGATGTTTTTAATATCAAATATAATTAATATGAACAACTAGGGAATTCTATATGTATTAACTGGAAATATGTGATGTCCTTTTCTAAATTTTGAAGTTTAATTTCTTATTGGTATTTATGTATGTGAGGGGAAGTCATAGGGAGGAGGGAGTAAGGCTTGTTTTCTGCTGCCCTGGAGACTAGGGCATGGAACAATGGTTTCACACTACAAGAAAGGAGATTCCATTTGAACATTAGGAAGACCTTTCTGACTGTGAGAGCTAGAGCTGTTCAGCAGTGGAACTCTCTGCCCTGGAGTGCGGTGGAGGCTTCTTATTTGGAGGCTTTTAAACAGAGGCTGGATGGCCATCTGTTGAGGGTGCTTTGAAGGTGATTTTCCTACTTCTTGGCAGGGAGTTGGACAGGATGACCCACAAGGTCTCTTCCAACTCTATGATTCTATGATTCTATGTTTGTTTCTAGTGCAGACCCTGACAAAGCCCATTCAATGCAATATAAAGGTTGACATGCATTGGATTTTTATGGAATATAATAATTATCAAGATATTTTGAAAATAAAACACAGACCAGACTAAGTAAGTGAAGGTTTGTTTCTTATTTTCCCTGTATGTGCTTTCCAGTATCTGTTTATGTTTCTCCTATTTCCAACACAACAGCTAGGCTGGCCAATGGTGAAGAACAACTGAAATAGGAAGATATACATACGTGGAGGACAACACTTTTATTTATTGAATTTATAGCCCACCTTTCTCATAGGATGAGATACAAGATTCCTATCTTTCACTCAGATGAACAACGACATCTGAGTGAAACGGCTTTTAGAAATCTAACATGTCTAAAACCCACTTCTAAGAGAGGCCAGGTAGGGAAACGCCTGAGGAGAATTCTGGCAACGAAGAGCCACTATCAGATGCAAGCATCAGCTAATGACAGAAATAGATAGCTTGGCAAACAGAACCTAATAATACAAAACCAGACTGCCACTACAGGGCTGTGTAAAACACTGCATGAAGAGAAGTTAATAATGCTGACATCCAAGCTGAAAAGACAGCTGGGAGAAAAAGAAGGCATAAATGATGGACTTCCCTCAGACACTCTCCCTTTGCGATACTGCAGAGAATTGCCTAATTTTTCAAGTTAGTACTTTACAAAAATATAGTTGATATATATATATACCTACCATATCTAAATGACCCTGATTCAAATATTTTACAAATAATAAGACCACTTGTTAAACTAAAAATTGTGATATAGTAGGATGTTGTATTACTTTCAAAAATAACTATGTTGTTTTCATTGCCAAAAAAGTGCCATTACTTGTAACATGTTACTTGAAAGCTCTGGGCCAAAAGTTGACAGCATACTCCCTGGGAATGCATTGTCCACATAATCTAGACAGTCTGTCAAATATAGCAGGTCTAGAAATTGTGTCCATGAAAAGCATCTTGTGCAAGAGAATGTTTGTTTTTTCAACAAAACGATATTGTCGCATTCATTTCTTGCAGATTTTCCAAAGTGTTTCTTTGTTCAAGAAACTGAGTCATTATTACTTGGGTTGCAAGAAGCCTGATGGAAGAACTAAGAGCTCCTTTCTTCCCTTTTCATCATATAATTCCTCAGTCAAATTCTCCACCTTTGTCAGCTGGAGTGGAAACACTTTATGATTTTGCCTTATACATTAATATGATGATGGTGACGGCAATGACAGACAGATCTTTTGCAGGGTTGCATTAGCTCCAGTAAGTGCCACTCTATCTGCTGTACATATAATTTTCAATAATAATGCTCTTTAAAAGTATCATGAAGACAAACATGCTGAAAAAAATGTCAACCAGAACCTCCTTGGCAAAAATACCTGAAGAACAAAACCTGCCACCATCTTACCCAGCATGACATCCTTTCTCTCGTTCTCACAGTCTTTTGAAAATAATATTTCTATTTTCCCCTTTGGATTGGATGAAGTTTTGTTCTAGCAGTGGAAGTGATTCTGTGCAGTGTTCCTGTCAGAAAACCCCCACTGAGTGCTTCATCTTTTGGATTCCCTTGAACCATCTTTCACACTGTTCGGGAAGAACTTCTAACCCTTTGAAGTATATCTTCGGGGGAATAACATGGGATTCAGGTGGAGAGGCAAAATGGCAGAAATGGCCTCCTTTGCTCTTCAGTCACTGGAAAAGATCTTCTAGAGCTCTCCATACATTGAATATCTCATGCTGGATCAACTTAATATGAAAAGCAGTCTCCATGTTTCCACCATATATTCCATTTATCACTAAGGTAGATGGATGTGGTTAACCCGCAGTTAACAAAAAAAGATGTCCTGTAGTCCTGAAGTGCTCTTTTACAAACCACACAACCATTTTTACAAATATATCCAGCCTTTCACAGCAAACGCTAGAAAGGTCACACTTCTTATCTTTGCATCTTTCATTTCCATACCCCCAGATGAAGCCACTTACCTTTCTACCCAGCTCTTGTAGTTGGGGATGTCCTTGGCATACAGTAGTTTATTGGAGGGGGAGTCTTTCCCTAGCTTGTGCTCAGAAGTTGAGCAGGAGTCCATGAATGTCTGAGCCACCACTGATAGGCAGGCATCAGTAATACTGTTCTTGTGAATATCAAACACAAACTGGGGATTCTTAATCACATTCACCCAAAAACGCAGAGGTAGACTGCAGAGGAAAGAGAAGAGAAAGTCAGCTTGGGAAAATATATTCTTCTTAACTACAGGGTCCCAGATGATAACCTTTGACTGCTCTGAATCTCAGAAAATGGGGCAGACATTATCGCTAAACCTCAACAGTTGGGAATAATTTGGAAGCAGGACTTGTCAGCTGCTTTGTTCTCATCTGTCTTGCCCTTTTACATCTATCTCAGAGTTGACTACTCTGGTTCCTTTCTTCTCCTGAGCCCAGTTTTCACCAGGAAGGATTCATGCAGGGAGCAACCTGGTGACTAGATTAGGCAAGCCTAAAACCTTTCTTCTTGACACCTTTGTTCAAATTACTCTCTTTTCTTTTTCATGGAGAAGTATCAGATCATTTCAGCCCTGCCTGGAGTCTGAAGAGAAACAGCTCCAGCGTGAGGTTTACCAGTTCAATGAAAACCAGGTCTTGGTTTTCACTGTCACATCTATCTCAAACGAGAAATGTTTGGCTCCCTTGACTTCTGGAATACAGGCGCTGGATGTGCATACATACTTTTAACTTCAGATAATGATCTCATGAAACTATCCAAATTAACACCCTGAAACAGGCAGGGGCATTAGTATGCAGGAGCCTGCCTGCTTGGGCTTTCTGGGACTGCAGTCCAGACATCATTGGGATTCTTTCCCCTGCCCTGCTTTCCCCCTTCTAGTGCCACATCTTCTTTTAATATAGAAAGCACAGTGATAAATCAGCTCCCAGAGTTTCCATGCTCTCATATCTCCATTTTAAAATGTTTCTTTTTCTGCCCTGCTAATTACTGACAGTTACTGAACTATACAAAAGCAATTTGGCTGCCATTTAACAAATGCCAGAGCTGAAAATGTATGTTCATATCCCCCAGTACTGGGGAGAAAAATCTGAGAGATGAAAACAGCAAGGCAGCGCAAGGGATGAGCACAGAGAGGCAACACATCTCACTATTCACTGAGCACACAAATCTCCTAGGCTTTAGGACAAACACAGAGCCAGCCTGAGTTTGGCTCAAGCTATGCAGAATGGCATGCCAGCCCCATTACAATTGGTTATACACGTATGTGCACAATGGGACCCAATTTGCACAGAGGGATGTGTCCTATTATCTGAAAAATAGATGCCTTTGGATTAAGACATGTAAAAAATTGCCCCAAATGCCTGGTATAATTAATGCACATTTCATGTTTCACCTTCCCTGTGCAACAGTGAAACATGAGCACATTATGCGCTGTTCTGTCTCATTAGGGCCATTTTTAACTTTTGATCCATTTTCTGAAAAAGGTGTAATTTCAGATTTCCTGTAGGAAGGCTTCTGAAGCCATCTGCTAGCTAGGAGAAAGCTGACTGAAATATCTCCTTGATAGTAATGTCTCCCTGATGCCTGAGACCCAGTTCTTATTCCTTGTCTAATGCAAAGCTGTCTTAGACAAACTTAGACCGTTACTCCATCTACTTTATGATTTTCTGCACTAACTGGCAGCATCTCTCTCAGCTCTAGCTAAAGCTGGGATCTTTTGCATGCAAAGCATATGGTGTACCATTGATCCACAGATCTCTTTCTTACCAATTACTCTTCCAAGTGTGCCTGACATCGTAGTCATTGATCTGGTGCTTATCAGCTTGTTCATCCAGGAAGTCAAACATGTACTTGATGGCCAGAGGCAAGGCACTCCCTCGATGTGCTGTGCTGAAAATGGTCTCGAACAGGTCATCAACAAACTTCTGCAAGGTCCCCTAGATGGAAAAAAGGGAGAATATTTTCTCAACAATGCTAAATACATTGCAGCGTATAAGTGAAATAACAGCAATGAAATAGATATACCATTTGCTTATAAGGGATAAGCTGATGTTATAAGCAGAAATACCATGTTATGAAAGAAAGGATTGATGTGTCACTGGTAGAAGAAAAAGGGACAAACAGGCTTGTATTCAAGACAACCCACATTGCCTCATGAAGAGGACTCAACAACCAGAAATTCTATAAGTAGACAATGCAAGAAAGGTGACACCTGCCACAGGCCTTGTTTTTTTCATTCCGCAATGACATTTAAGGCACTGTACATGGGCTTTCTAGGTCATCCATCTGCACTAATTCTGTTGATAAGACTGAAGCTTCAAAGCTTGACCACAAAGAATCTGGACATTATAGCATGTGTATAACTCAAAATACAGAATGTCATCCCCAAACAACCCCAAAATAGCTTAAACAGCAGCCAATTCACATAGCATTCTATTATCCTGCCATGGAAACACCTGAATGTGTTATGAAAAAAGAATTAGCCTCCTTATATCTATCCATTTAGGACAGAAGTTCTTAACCAGGCTCTATAAATTAGTGTAAAGATTTCAAGGGTTTGTGAGCTTGAATCAAAATAATAATAATAATAATAATAATAATAATAATAATAATAATACTTCTTACCCACCTCTCCTTGTGGCTTGAGGCAGGTTACAGAATAATTAAAACACATAAACATTGTAAAAATACTACAAATGAACATATTAAAATGTATTTCTATAAAACCTATATATTAAAACATATTCTATAAAATACATGTTAAAATTCACAAACCAGAGATTAAACAAAGGACACACAGTTAAAATTCATGCTTAAAGACTGGCTGGGTAGGTGTGCCAGAAGAGATAGGCCTTTACATGGTTTTGAAATTCCGACAGCTGATCTAGCTGTCAGAACTCTTCCGGCTGGTCATTCCACAGTCTTGGTGGCCGATGAAAAGGTCCTCTGGGTGCTGGTTGCCAGTCGAGTTCTGGCAGGTTGGAGCAGGCACCCCCAAAGGACCTCAGTGTGTGTGACGGATTGTACAGGAGAGGGCAATACTTTAGATAACCTGGACCCAAACATTGTAGGGTGTGGAAGGTCAAAACCAACACTTGGTACTTTGCCCAGAAACTAATTGCCAGATAGTAGAGTGACTTTAGAATAGGTGGAATAAGTTCACTCCTAGATGCTCCTGTAACCAATCTGGCTGCCATATTTTGAACCAGTTGGAGTTTTCGAACTTGGTAGAAGGGTAGCCCAATGTAAAGCGGATTGCAGAAGTCCAACCTTGAGGTTACCAGCACATTTTCAGGTCCTCCAAATCTAGGAAGGGATGCAGCTGGCATATACCTATGGATGATCTCTTCTAGCAGCTTCTTTTTGTTATTTTCTCTGACTGCTAATTGAAATCTGCCATTCCTTTCACTTATGAATGCATGCAGTCAATTACAGTAATATTCACTTCATGTCACCTTATAGTTATTACATATCTTGAAAAATTGCTTACAATCATCCATACTTTGCAATTATGGTACGTTTTTGACTAATGCTAGATCATACATGAACACAGTCTTGTTATGTACAATGTATTGTGACATGCTGGCATTGAATGTAATAAAACTAACTACAACTACATTCAGAGAAGGGATACATGGTGTTCATCTGACTGGTAAAGGGGCCCATGGAACAAAGAAAAGTTCAAAACCCCATTTAGAAGGAACATTTCCAAATCAGTCATATATAAATTTTCCAGTTAATCCACATGTGATGGGGAAATATTTCTGCTTTACAGGTATGAAAAGATGAGAGAATAACCTTGACTTTTTTTACATTTTTAGTTCAATGCTTGTGTTAAAATCAGAATTGTTCTTTTGTAAATGAATTCCATGCTTGGCATGCTGAAGGATTTGAATCTTCACTTGGAAACATACTGCTGTCATTTGTCATTCTGTGTAGAATACACTTATTGAAATACAAAAATTCATTGGGGGTAGAAGAGAGTTCATAAAGCTGGAACCTGTCTTAATAGTCCCTCCGAAGCTGCCATGTACCTTCTTTCTGTTGAGGAGATTGGCTGATTGCTCTCAAAAGCCAGCTTTCCAAATGACTAGGGAATGCTACTAAAAAGGATACCTTCCCTCTTCCCAATTAAATGATGAGGCAACCCACCCAGGTATATCTATATAAAGAAAAGACTGCAATGGGAAAAGAAACACATAGAGCTGAGTTTGTAAACCATTTGGTCCACAAGGGAGCACCTGACTCTGGCCTATTGATGGGATGTGTAAGGTGTTTGCCTCCTGCATGCACAATCTCTGTATAAATAAATAAAAATGTTTATACTGTCAATAATCCTCCAAAGGAACTGGAGATAAGCACTACTTCTCCCTGACTGGTGAATGTAACAATGTATTTGTAGTTCCCTGGTTTGTGCTAAATGTGTACTGAGTTAAGCAACAGCGAAAGAGCATCCAAGTACCAGTGAGAGAATTAATACCTTTGGCAGATTACTACAATTTATTATTTGGCTTGGAAATAAAGCAGGAGAGAGATTCCAGCTGTCTCACTTGCATGCTAGTTATAGCAATCAGTGTGGGGCTTTTCATTCCTAAGATTTGGCAGTATTGTTTTTGTTTGTTTTTGTACAAATCTTATATTATTGACCATTTGATTTACATCAGAAACTAGTGTGGCAATTACATAACGTGAGTTGCTCAGTATTGTGTCCTAAGCCAATGGACTTTTAATGCTCCCTTGCCTCCCCGGCTTTTGCTGATGCAGAGGATTGGTAAAATGAGGGCGTCTATCAAGCGTACGAACAGAGCACAGGGGAAATCAGTGATTGCAGCAACTGGAGGCTGGGATTCAATTCTGCTTCGTCAACAGCTAGGATGCAAAGCCAATCTTCGTAGCTTTAAAAGAAAAACCAGATGTAACTGGGACCTGAAATGCTTAGTTAGAAGTAAGTGAAGAGATAAAAGTAAAGTAGCCAGGCCACCATTAATAGGCAGAAGATCCGTCGACCACACTATCACCAGGACAAGCTCAACTACCAAGCAACCCAAGTGGCACATTGAATCAGTGGGAATTGTCAATGATATTTTGGAGGTGTCTATGGACAACGCTGGCTCTTCGGCTTAGAAATGGAGATGAGCACCACTCCCCAGAGTCAGACATGACTGGACATCATGTCAGGGGAAAACCTTTACTATATTGGTACTGAATATGATTATCAGTATTTTTACAGGATGTTTCAGTTGCCATAAAACAAGGCCCTTCCAGACACTGGATTAAGAATCCCATCAGCATAGGCTATGTCACCAGTGGCTAGAGAGGATGAGACTTTTGTCTTAAACAGCTGAGCAACCAAAGAACCTCATAAAAGGTCATGAGTTCTCCCTAGTAATAGAATGATTTTTGTTTTACGACAAGAGAAAGGCAGGGCGGCTTCTTTGTTTTAGAAACAAATAGTATTTGATATAATTTAAACTCTAATGCACACCTATATACGAAATACATTTTCCTAGGAACTGGAAGAGTCAGAAGGTCCCCAAATTTTGTTTGATTTGACAATCTATACCTCAGAATGTGTTCAGCAGGCTTTCTTTCTATTCTCATTTACCTTGGTGGCTAGTAGGCGGGTCAAGTAGATTTCTGAGACCATCTTGCTGCCACGGTCACCTTCCCGCTGGTCCATGTGATCATGATTCTTCACCAGATGCCACAGCTTGGTGCCGCTTTCCAAGTCAGGAGTGATCATTGGGGTCCGGGAACGGAGGCTGTCGGGGCTGCTGGCTGTCCGGAGCATACTCTCTGTGAGGAAACCACATGCAATGGGAACCGCCTCTCCCTCCTTCTCTGACTCTCAGCCTCCGCTGTCCTCCATCTACCTCACTTAGCTTGCAGAATGGCCTGCTGCATCATTGAGAGTATATGACATGCATATGGAGCTACCCTTTCAACAACATTATGCCAAGTGGGAAAGTGGACAAACAAGAGATTTCACCAAAAAGGTCAAGCATTTTAAAAAAATGGAATAAGCCACTTTGAAAAAAAAAAGTGCAAGGGGTAGATGGGCTTGTCACCTATTCAAAGGGAGAACTGCTGTTCTCCAAGGATTGTAAGGGAGAAAGTTCATCCCTCTTTGGGAACTGGCTTGAAGGCTGTGCTTGGAGGGAGGTGGTGTTGCTTCCAGCCCTGGGGATACAAGTTGCCCATTTCTTGCCTATGCACTGATAGGATAAGTCTCTACATATGAAAGCTGCCACTTTTAATCTCAGGTTGACTTGCACAGCCAGGAGAGTGTGGAGTACTGTCTGCCAAGTACTATATGCATCCATATAAACAAACTTATCCTGGGGTGCCATTCATATCAAACGTTGTTAATTACACACACAGATTCTTTTGTGTTCTGCATGCTTGGCTTATTTTCCCATGTTGTCCTTTGTTTTTAAAGAGCACACTGAAAGAGAACTTCTTCAAACAAAGTATATTTTATTTATTTATTTATTTATTTATTTATTTATTTATTTATTTTATTATTTAAACTTATATGCCGCCACTCCCCTGGGGCTCAGAGCGGCTTACAAGGATGGCTAAAATCTAACAAAATTTAAAAGCAATTTAAAACAATTTAAAAACAGTAATATCAAACATTAAAAGCCTGTCGAAACAGGTATGTCTTACATGCCCTGCGGAAATGTGCCTTCCTCATCCTTGACATCTTTACTCCCTACAAAACTTGGCAATTCGGGATTATGTTGATAGCCAAGCCAATGTACAAGGAAGATCTCCACTGTTTTAAAAGCCACATTAATTTCTAATAGAAATATTTAAATAAACCTTAGAATGTGGTTTATAGCTACAATAAATATTACAGGCATGCCTCAATTAACAAGATCTCAGACAAAAATGCTTTTTTACAAGGTGTTTTATGTGCTCAGGCCCTACTTGTCCTCTATCTAGCTGGAAAGCTTTTTTTGTAGCATTTTCCTGCTCCTTGGTAGGGAGTTGGACTGGATGACCCACGAGGTCTCTTCCAACTCTATGATTCTATAATTCAGTACTGACACTGGGGGCATGGAGAAACACAGACATTATGTGTCAGTTTGTAGGATTGTGTCTGCAGTAAGCAATGCAATGCATGAACTCAGAATAATGAAATTTGCCTCTAGTCCATATCTGATGTTGTGACGGCATGCTTACAATAGGTAAAATAAACAGCAGATGCTCCTAGAATTCCTTACTGAGCATATGAAAACAGCAAAACAGAAAGAATAGGAGAGAGCAGATAAGCTGCTTCCCCAGTTTTAAAAGCCCCATTAAATAACAGCATCTTTTTCTATCATCATCATCATCATCACCACCACCCCACTTTTATTTCTTGATTTAGACACAATCAATTTTTCTGATCAGCCTTTGCTTACTCTGATTATTATTCCCCAGACTATTCCTGAATGCCTATTAATAAATAAGCAATAATATTTTCTCAGTTACTCACCATATCTGCTGAGTGATTTGGTGAAGGTGGAGGAGTTAGAAATGTTGTAGGCTGAATTCTGCTTGGGCACAAGTGCTACCGAGGAACCGTCTGTTACCTAGAGGACCAAAATTAAGACTGGTGTGACACTCAGACCTAGAACTCCTGAACTTATCCAAACAATACTGCTCCCCAAACAGTAGATCGTGTTGCCTGCTCAATGAGTTTGTATAGCTCTCTAAAATCTCTGACAAGATGGACCATGCCAAGTCTCAGGGACAATGCACAAGCTCAAGAAGAGCAATTAAGATTTTGAGTCAACATTTCTATTCTACTCCATCATTAAAAAAGTATTTGCACTGGTTGGGTCAATTTCAGGCCACTTAAACTCAAATTTGGTTAGAGTTTTTCTTCTCTTTTTCCCCCTCCATGAGTAAAATAAATTATTTTCTATTTTGTTCAGAATAATTATTCAATATTTGTTTTTGCTTTTGTAATCTTGAGGTATTTGTATACTAAATTGGGGGAGCGGAAGGGTAGATCCAGGATAAAAAAAAAACAGGGAATGTTGTAAGATCCTCTAAGACAGTGAGAGAAGCAGTGGTTCTTAATGTGTGAGCTGTGGACCACCAGTGGGCTGTGAGGACAAAAATCTGGTCCGCGAGCCTCCTTTCTTGTTATTTTATTCTATTTATTTTACTTCTGCTCTTTCATGCCACCTGCCACTCCTTCCCTGTCACTGACATATATTCTGGATCAGAAACTAGAGCTGATATGGACTATCCAATGCAAAGTTCTGAATCAGTAGCCCATACTGAATCAGCACCCCATACCGAATCAAAAACTGATTCACAACCCCTTTGGTACTAATGTTGGAGAGTGGTCCCTGGTCAAAGTAGTCCATGGTGAAGTGGTCCCTGGTCAAAGTGGTCCCTGGTCAAAACAAGGTTGGGAACCACTGGTCTAAGAACTCACCAATAAGAGGGAAACTTCTCTAAGTCTTTTGCAAAGTGGACAATACACATTGAGAACTTAAATGGCTAAAGGCAACCCCCTCAAGAATTTATTTTCAGATAATATTTTGACGACAGCAGGATTGTTCAGCCTGACTTGCTGTGCAATAAATCCTCTATTCTCCTGATTCTGAATTATCTTTTTTTTGCCTTGATAACTATGCCACCTAAAAGGACATTGCCCAATTGGGTTTTGGAAATTACAGAAGGAATGACAGGTTTATGCAGAGTCCCAGGTGGGCATGGGCATAAAAAGAATAAAATGAATACAGAAACCCTTTGGGAACAGTCCTCCATTGCTAACTGTGGTTGGATGTGAATGTGGGAAGTTTCCATATGCTTCTGCTGGTCTCCATAAGGAAGAAGACTGCGGCTGTGTCCTACTGTCAAGAGGAAGGTAAACAGCAGCCAGGACAGACTGGCCCACCCCTCAACCCTTTTGAAAGTCAAGGCTAGTCACTTTAAAGGGAGAAAGGCCCTTCCTCCATAATGTTTTCCTGCTGCAACTCTAACACCACATTGTTTCGTTTCACAATGGTTTTGTGACAATCATCTCCAGGAGTTCTTACAACAACTAGCACTGCTCTGAATTGTGGCTCTTTGTCAGCTTTCAATGGAAATGCACGGCATGGTGTGACTTAGAGAAGCACAATTAAAGTGTATTGATAGAACATTCATCTACATTTAGTAATCTCCAATATGCACCCAGAGAGTCTTATGGATTTCTCCAGTGCTGGATATAAGGACGGACTCATATTTTTTCCAATAACAGATCTTTGTGAAAGGCTTTTCCCTCTGAAAGACCAAGAATTTAATCAAACTGCCTGAGCTGCCTACTGAGGGAGGTCACACCCTATCCCCTCACACCATCTGCCTAGAAAGAGCACAGATGCAAAACATAATCATAAGAGCAAGTTTTTCTTCCTTCCAGGCCAAATGATCTATCAAGGAAAGCAAGAGAGAAAGCAAGCCTTGAAGCCTCTTCTACTGTCATTATTGCTTCTTTGTTCAAACCTGAGAGTTCAAAACTTTAATTTTCTTAACCAATTGTTTCAAGATATATAATTTGGCACTTTCAGATCTTGCCGCTTTCTCTAACATAAATATACTTATCTCAATCTGACCCCACCCCCACCCTGCTTTACAGCAACACAAAAATAAATGACAAGCACAACCCACTACACCCATTTCTCCACAAATGAAGCATCTATGCTGAGTGAACCTTACACTCAGTCGTCTGCTTTCTTCTGCCATACCTCTATGGCTAAATTCAGTGGACAACCACACCTGGTAATGGGCTAAGGTGTTGAGCCTTTTCCAGTCATTGTCGATCTTTGTGGTTACATCTTCATCTTGCAGTATTATCCGAGCCATCCTGCCCTGCCGCCACTCTGCACCGATGGAAGAGAAGGGCATGGGGTCACTGGGGATCGTGCTCACTTTGGACAGATCACAGAACGAAAGGCATGGAGAGCATGTGAATGCTGCATGGCACAAACAGGCTTTAAAAGCCACACCCCATTTTAAACCTTCATTTGTGTTTTATCACCCGCTGGAGCTAACGACAACTTAGTACAATCAGATCTCCAAATTCACTAAGGTTAGGTGGCACAAGACCCCCGTAAAAGTGAAAAAAATCAAATTTTTTAACCTAAGAGAACATCTTTTTAAGGATAACTAGGTCCTTCAGAATGACTTTATGGTTAGGGTCTGCCAGAAACTGACCATAAAGTCATGCTAGAAGAGACCTAGAGATCCCTAGATAAAACATTTCAATTAAATTGATGAACAATCAAATCCATAAAGGCAAATCCACAAATGTGGAGTCCTAACTGAATAGGATATAACACAGATTAGCTGTCTACTTTGAAAACCTGGTACACCCACATTCTTGGAGCAGCATTGTTCATTTGCTCGGACTGTTCAGTAAATCATAAAACTACAGAAATATGCTTAGATCAAACGCCTTTTGGTTTTTAACTCATGTGTCTCTTATCTTTAGTGACCACCGAAGATCATTGTCTCTGAGCATAAAGAATTGCTTCCTGAACTTTTGACACAATTCATCTTATTCACAAGAAATTTTAAATTAGAGATTACAGCTCTCCTATCTGAGGTATTGTTACATGTCTCTGTAAAATGCAGAACACAAAAGATGAAGAGATAAGATGCTGAACTGAATCTTTGCCCATCATACATTCTGTGATGAAGCATTAATTGCTGAGCTTGCACCAGCATGTTGTAATATCCTATGATGTGAAAGCTGTTAGTGTGTCATTCTGTACTTTTGAATGCTGCAGCCAGGCACGACTATTTGGATCACAGCTCAGTCTTGCTAGCAAGTAGTCATTCCTAAGGACATTTTATTTGGAAGGAAATGAAAGGATAATTTTGCCTGCATGCCAAAGGCTGTTAAACTACACTTAACATTTTCATTAGTTTAAGCATACCTTTGTCCCATACAAACGTGGGACAAAATCTGTTATCTGAACCTTATCTGTCTACTGATATCCTTGGTAAGGATCTTAGAAATTTGGTAGAAAAACAATTATGAGAAATGGGTGAATCTGGGCATAACAGATCCAGCTCTGCTGAGTGTAAGAAGACAGCAACCATCCTATAGTGTGTGTGTGAAAATTATGCAGCTCTCCAGATGCTGGTGAACTGCAATGACCAGCAGCTTATTCACCAACATCTGGAGAATCACATAATTTCCTCCTCCCATGTGATGGTGGCAGTCTAGTTACACATACTCAAGCTGGACCCATCACGCCCACACAGATTTACCTGTTTCTCAAGCAGATGGCAACGGCCCTGACTAAGCATAACAGCAGGCAGATAAGCTTCAGACAGCAAACTCTGCTCCATGTTGACTGGGAAATAATAGGCTTAAACTAATTAGTATATTAAATGTATAGCCACATGATTCCCATCCCTGATGTATAGTTTGATCTTTGAAAGCCCCACAGAGTGTCACAATTCTATACACAATTTGCTGGTGCATATACTGTGCACTTCTTAAGATTAAACTGTGCTCTTACCAATAGTCCACTAACAGAAGAGTGGAATTGCCAGATGTCTCTCTCCATTTTAGACCAGAGGGGACATAGTTGGGTGTAGCACACTACTGCCCAGTTAACTGTTCGTGTGTGTGTGTGTGTGTACGCTGATACCAACTGGAAGTTTTCCTTTTGGACGCATCATGCTAGCAAGGTGATCCAAATTCGAACGCCACATATTAAGTAGACTGATTTAACATTTTTCACCCAATGAGAGGACTATAATCATAACACAGCTGGTAGTCTGAAACTTGTGTCAACTTCCAGACACTTTGGAAATCATCTCTTTAGCACAGGGAAGTAATTATTCATCTGCTTACATGACACACTCATCTAGTGAGAAACAACAAAGAGCATTGTGGCACCTTAGAAATCAACTTATTTTTTGTTGCATAAGCTTTTACAGCTGATAGTATCTGGTGAAGTGCTTCTAATCCATGAAAGCTTATCCCACATAAAATAATCTTTAAAGTTCCAGTCATTATTATTTTTGCTGCAATAAAGTTATCTCTCTGTAAGTACAAGCATAATATGAACTAGCTGTGTGAATGCAGTTTTTCGCCTACACTGATTGCCACTGTAACAGCTATGAATCTGCAGCTCACCCAAATCCATGTCTCCTGCTTTGGGCCGCTGGGAGTATGGCACTCCTTTGTACACTGCATCCAGAAGTTTTTCCTTCACTTGTGTAATGGTGTCACAATTCAGAACCTTCACTGGAATCTCAGGAGCATTTTCATTTTCAGGGTTCACACAGTTCAGTGTCTGCATGAAAGGAAGAGGTAAATACATTAGTGTAAAGGATGTGTCTATTACACTTTAGTTTGGGCAGCAGGGAGGTATAAAGGGAAATAGACAAGAGAAAAAGCTCGTATCAAACAATATAGGAAAAAGCTTAACAGGCCATTGTTCCAACCTTTCTAAAAACCATTACACCCAACCACAAGAATTGTCATTTAGACCAGTACTTGATCTCCAAAAATACTAGTCATGTGTTCTGCAATATATTAAGGCAGAGCACAATGTAATGTAAGAGGAACCAAGATGGATCAGAAGAGCAGCTGTCTTAGTTTGAGGTAGATAAATAGATGCATCTACAAAGACATAATGACTATCTGTGGTTCTTTCTTAACAGCAGAGGCATCCAGTCTCTGACATTGGGGGCAGTATCTGATCACGTCTAACTAGTAGTTTATCTGATGAGTCTGTGACATCCCCTTTAATGTCTGTTTTTGGTGACAAGCGGAAGTACATTATCTAGTTTAATTATGTGCTAAGAGAAGAAGAACCCTTTATCTATTTGGCTGTTCATCTCCAACATCCAGTGATCAATGTTTATACTCTATCCAGAAATCTAAACTTTCATTTGATTTTTCATGATTAAATATATTTTGATAAGAACTCCAGGTTTGAAGGCTTCTTATTAGTTATGCATAAGAAATGGAATATAGCAGGGGCTTTTCTCATAGATTATGAAGAGAATGACAAAGAAGTGCTATTTACCAGTGGGTTTTTTCAGGCCAAGATTTTTTTTGGGGGGGGGCAGTTCTGATATTGCTGCATTAGCCCCTGTACACACATACACACCCAAAAAACAGCATCTGAACTGTTCTCAATGTTCTTTCGTCTCTTGCTATACGACCTCTTTCTTTCCTCTTTTTCCACTCTAGTGGGAGACCACCATCTGTCTAAAATATCTCCAGCTAGCAGGATCCTGGCTCTTTCTTTTACTAACCAACATTTTGTAGTCAATTTGTTGACGGATGAGCTTATCTTCACTTAAGGAGTATCGGGCCTCTCCAGTGATGGCATCAATAGGTCCCTTCTCCATCTGCTGTTTGATGGCACAGTATAGCATGAACAGAGGTTCGCCTGCACATTCCTAAACAGAATAAGAAAAGGAGGGAAGAATAAAAAGGCATTAGATAAAATATCTGACAGTCAGCTCCAAGAGAATATTGTAATACCTAAATGAAATGGGGAGAATTTTACATTTTTTATATTTGATAATCAAAGTCGCATCAGAGGTCAGTTTCATTAGGCATCATTCCTAATGAGTGTTTGATCAACTAATTTTGAGTTTGATGGCATCACAAACTACGACCAGACGTTTTTTCAAATGCTAGGACCAGCTGGATAAAGAAGAAAATACCGTGTATGGTGATGGGCAGCACACTGAAAAGGACACCATAAGACGAAGTGGACAACCATAAGATATGGTCTCTTAATATGCATCTGGATGAAGCAGCTCCACAATGAACTGACTAAGTTCTGCATGACCCTTATCATTTACTGCCTGATCAGACATTATATACCCAGTTGTCGATCTGTTTCTCTAGAAAGGGTCTGTTTCTTTAGAAAAGGCTATATAATAACGAGAGCTAGAATGGTCCAATTGGCCATGAAAAACCATTGTGTGACTGTGAGCAAGTCACACTCTCTCCAGCCTCACAGGAAGGCAAAGGACATCCTGTTCTGGAAAAAAAAAACCCTAAATAAACACCATGTTAGAGTTGTCCTAGTGTTGCAGTAAGTTGGAAATAACCTAAAGACACAGAACAACAGTGGAAATGGCAACAAAAACAAAAACATCACTATGGTTGCTGCAAAGCAATCCATCTTTTCCTTCTTGTGTAGCATAAAATTTACAGACAGGCTGGACATAAATTTCCATCCTCCTAATATTTAACCTAGCAATTACATCTGAATTATCCGCTGTGAATCTCTCATCTTTTTCTTTTAAAAAATGAGCCATTACACATTCCATAGCCTTGAAGTTTACCAATTTATCATTAGATGTATAAAATTATTACTTCTTTTTGTCTTCTCTGCATTTACTGCCTGCTAATTTCCTTGAGCATATTGCCATTATGTAAAAGAACAAATACATAATTGGCTACTCAATTTCCCTGTTCTAATAAAAGAAATGCTACAATTCTGCCAGTAATAAGCAACATGCCATCTGACCTATGCTCGGAAGAGTTTTCAGAGAACCAACAAAAGTGCTCAAGGGAGTATTTTTAAAGGAGATGTGGTGGTGTGCGCATGTGTGAAAAGGAAAAAAAATCAGCAAAGAAAAAGAAGAGTCAGTATGTCTGAAGCCCAAAAAGAATGCTATAATAGTCAAGTGCCTGTGATAAAAATGACTGTATGTGTGTTTGAAAAGAAATTAATAGAATGCTATGCAGATGATTATTTTAAAACAAACAAAAGTAATTCCATGAATGCATCACTCTGAAAACAGTTATCAGTGGAGACAGAAATTGACTTCAATTTTTGGACCAATGTATCATGCTGCTTCATAGAATACATGCCAGTGGCACAATGGGTTAAACCCTTGTGCCAGGAGGACTGCTGACCAGCCGGTCAGTGGTTTGAATCTGGGGAGAGCAGGTGAGCTCACTCTGTCAGCTCCAACTCCCCATGTAGGGACACTGAAGAAGCCTCCCACAGGATCGTAAAATCATCAAACATCTGGGAGTACCCTGGGCAATGTCCATGCAGAAGGCCAATTCTCTCATACCAGAAGCGACTTGCAGTTTCTCAAGTCTCCCCTGACACACACAAAGTAGTATACATGGGTACCAAAATATTTCACTGTTACATAAGACAGTACTACTCAAAGTGGAGGTCCATGGATCAGTGCAAGTCTATAAACCATCTATTCCTAGTGCCTGGAACTTTCTCAGGAAAGAAAGGAACAACTGGAGGCAACAGACACAAACATGGTCCTGGTCCCTGGAATACTGGAACAAGGTGGGAAATGTTTGTCTCACCATACTAGATAGCTTGAGAAGCAGCGGTCTTGGACATTCTTTCCTCCTCAACTAGGGTGGAGATGCAAAAATCCCAAGTGAGCACTCTCTTCCTGGTCTCTTTCCCTGCTGGTGACCATCACAACAAATCCTACTTTGGTGCAAAGTGTGCCTGCTCTCTCTGTCACCATATGCTGTTAGCATCTCGTTAGCATCTGCAGTAATTAAAGAGACAGCTGCTAACGAGTAGGAACAGGCATACATCATCCCTAGACCTTCCAACAACATGCCTGTCTTTGAAATTATGTTTCATTTGCAAACTTGGCTTCATTAAGTCTGCTGGGGGGGGGGGGGGGGGGGGGGAGATTGAGGGAACCAATGTGGGTGCTATGCTGTTTATTAATAGCTGTCTTGTCTTCTCAAACACACATGCTACATGATGACCGTATGTTAAACAGGACCACGTGGCAATTATGTTGCTTGCAAGACTTTCCCAGTACAGTTTTCCCTTCCACTTCCAGGTGATGCAAAAATGTTAAGCCTTTCTGACTGCTTATAAAAGCTAGCTGCAAACCATTCAGCCACGAAAAGCAACACAGACAGAGAATAAATTGGAGATGGCTCCTTGGTCACATCTCGTTTGTTATGTTCTCTTTTGGTGCACAGTTTTCTACCACTTGCAGTCAGCTGAGAAGCCAAGCATTGCTTTGGAGCTGAGGATCTGACCTTTCATCAGGGCTGTTTGAAGGTGCTGATGAAAGTGGACAATTGCACTTAAAAAAAATATCACCTCTAAAGATTAAGCCATTTAGCATTCTCAATCTAGAGAAATCTGGTCTCATAAGATGGACAAGAAGCAGAAGGGTTTGTGTTTATTTAAAATTCTGGGAAGGTATTGTGAATTACTTTTACATTTGCTAACTGCTCCCCAGCTTCCCAACTTTTATCTATACAGTTATCTTTGGGCAAATGCCGCCGTCATGCAATAGTGGAAGAATGTTCTGTAAAAATTAGGGGATTCAGTATTTCTTTGTAACAGCATGGATCTCCTAAAGAGCAGGCTGTCATTTCAAGGTATCAGTAGTGTTATACCATAAAGAAACAAGCTACTGCATTTATCTCACTGCTACTAATGATGAGCTCAGTAATTTAACATTATGCTAAATTATGTGTAAACCAGCTCTTTATTATCTACAAAAAGGCTACAGAATCACCTTCTGACTAGCATCCCATTGGTTAGAGTAGACCTATTCAATCAACTGTTCCAGGGTGACTCAGAATATTGATACATCTAATGGATTCAATAATCTGCTCTAGTCAGGGTTAAAAAAGAATTTTTGCACCTGACTCCAGTTGACCTTTGACACTTCCAAGAAATTTTCAAATGCAAAAAGATTGGATTATTTTACCTTCCTTAATGAAGAGTAAATGGACTAAACAATGTACCTAACAGAATCTGCTGGTCACCATCAAGTTATGATAGCCATGTATAAATATGTGAGCCATGTATAAATATGTGAGAGGAAGCCACAGGGAGGAGGGAGCAAGCTTGTTTTCTGCTTCCTTGGAGGCTAGGACGCGGAACAATGGCTTCAAACTACAAGAGAGGAGATTCCATCTGAACACGAGAACTTCCTGACTGTGAGAGCCATTCAGCAGTGGAACTCTCTGCCCCGGAGTGTGGTGGAGGCTCCTTCTTTGGAAGCTTTTAAACAGAGGCTGGATGGCCATCTGTCGGGGGTGTTTTGAATGCAATATTCCTGCTTCTTGGCAGGGGGTTGGACTGGATGGCCCATGAGGTCTCTTCCAATTCTTTGATTCTATGATTCTAAGTTCATCTAGATGTCTTTACGCTTGAAAAGACAAAAGGGTGTGTGTGTGTGGGGGGGGGATTTAGTCATGGAGACTGAATATAATTCTGTCCCTGTGAATTTTACCTCAAGACAGCTAGAATTCCAAATATTCCCTCTTTTCATGCACATACCCTACTCTGAACGCTTAGAATATGGCAGCACATCTAGGCAAAAGTGACCAAGACCATTAAAAAAGTTGAGTTGGCATCAACAGGCAAGAAGCTTTGTTAACACAACATTGCCACAGCTGTTGGGGAGCAGGGATTATGTGCCGATTGCTAGATAAGAAGAGCACTTTAACAGCTAACGGGGAGAAATTTACCAGCACACGTAACAAAGCCCTCTGCTCTTTAACAGTCTCTCTGCATGAGGATACAGTACTTTCCCTGGGGTCATCAAAAGTCTGTGTTCAATCTTTTAAGGACACAGACCGAAAGATGCTCTTATGTCATATGATTATGAGCAACTGCACGGTCAGTTGGGATGAGCTTTTGTGAAATGAACTTATGGCTCTGAGCCCAGTTCCTAATAGAAAAGAATTTGATGCAAAGCCAAAAGATGAACAAAAATAAGCTACCCCTGCTCAGAGGCCATGCTGTTCTATTTGGCAGTGTCCAGGACGAGGATTGGATGAAGGTGAGATGACCCCTCCAAACCCTGCAGGCACGGTTCCTCTGCAACACAGCTTTTCAACAGCTTTCTTCTTCTCCACAGTATTTTTTTTTACCGATTATTACACATCTGTAACTTCTTTTAAAGATGTACAATAGCAAAGATCAGTTAGGTGACACACAAAGCTTCTTTATACTGAGTCTGACCCATCTGAGCCATATCGTCTCTTCTTTTTCAAGGAAAGGTCTTTTCTTTAAAACTGAGATGTTAAAGCTTTAACCTGGAGTCTTCTATACGATTTATCACTGACCTATTCACCTTCTTTACAAACAGCAGGGTTAGGAACTCTACTTCGTTAAACTCGAAGAAAACAAATGCCTTTAATTGACTTTACAGGTGGTACTTCTTTGGTTCTTCCTGCTATAGCTGTTTAAATGGTGTTATCTGGACAGGATGGACATGTCACCTGGTTGTCGAACCTATCTTTTTGAAAAGTGCTGGGACTGGGAGGCAAAGTGCTCTTGAGAAGAGTTTTTCCTTTAACCTCTAAAGGATTACAAAGAGCTGCAGGATGTGGAGGAATGTGTAAACACTGGCATTTGCAAATGTTGGCATTTGCATGTGAGCGTCTGCGCATATGTGGAGAGGAGGCCTGAGGCAGC